GTTCCAGCGACATTGTAGTGATGTTCTAGTGACGTTCTAACGACGTTGTAGTGATGTTCTAGCGACGTTCTAACAACGTTCTAGTGATGTTCTAGTGACGTTGTGTCTCTGGGTTCTGACCTGCAGGAAGCTCTCCACGTACTGCAGCAGGTAGAGCCCACAGTCGCTGCTGTTGTCCTGCTGAGGGACTCTGCAGCTGCAGCTCCGCATGCTGTCGGCGCTGAAGAGCCGCGGCGCCGCCTGGCGGACCTCCCACTCCACCTGCAGGTAGCTGATCAGCATAATCAATAACTATCAGCATCGATCCCCACCAGGAACAGCTGACTACTTTCAGCTCAAACACGTCTGATCACAACTGCTGATAATTTTCTAATTTATAGAATTTCTGATCAATATTTCTGTACATTTGAATTCTGACATCGTTCTAATTCACCTGCTGACATCATACATTTATATATTTCTACACAACCTGTGGTCTTCATCGTGAGCTTTATTCAGACTGTTGTCACATATTTTAACGTGTCTTCATGTCTCTCTGAGTGTGTGGATGAGAGATGAACTCACTCTCTGACGAGTCGACACACGTGTTCATGACTCGACAGCTTCAGCGAGTCCATGACCAGGATACACGGCCTGCACTCGGTCACACCGGACACAAAACACAGTCAGACACAAACCCAACGGAAAAAAAATACACAAGAGAAAAAGCACAAAATGGAAAACAAACAAATAAAACCTGAAAACAGCAACACTTATATAAAATGTGACTCGTGAACAGAAACGTCACTGAAGCTGCACGTTCACAGCAAACTGGTGAAAACAGGAAGGAACCTGGTAGAAGCTGAAACGCCTGCACAGGCTGGAACATCAACCTACAGACTAGTGGACACAAACAGGTCAAAGTGATGCAGAGACACGAACCTCTTCAGCACCGAGTCCTTCTGCCAGCCCTGCAGGCTGCAGCCCTGTGACACACACACAGCCGCCATCAGACAACAACAACAACAACAACAACAACAACAACAACAACAACAACAACAACAACAACAACAACAACAACCACAACAACAATGTGTCTATGTGTTGGCAGATGAGCTACAACATATCTTCAGACTTCACATGAACAGACGATTTCCAAGAAACCTACCGGAGCCTGGTTCCCTCTGAGACTGGACTCTGACCCACCTGAAACAAAGACACATCATCAACAAAGAGCTGGACACACTGGGAACACTGGGAACACTGGGGACATTGGGGACACTGGGGACACTGGAGACACTGGAGACACCGGGAACACTGGGAACACTGGGAACACTGGGGACACTGGAGACAATGGGAACACTGGGGACACTGGGGACACTGGAGACAATGGGAGCACTGGGAGCACTGGGGACACTGGGAGCACTGGGGACATTGGGGACACTGGGGACAATGGGAGCACTGGGAACACTGGGGACACTGGGGACACTGGGGACACTGGAGACAATGGGAACACTGGGAACAATGGGAACACTGGGGACACTGGGGACAATGGGAACACTGGG